CTGTTCGGATGCTGAGTGTGATGGGCCACACCACCCCACATGTGTTTCCCTGAGCGGACAAAAGTCTGAGCTCAGCACAGTGCAAATGTAGGTGTCTGTCTCCGGTGAACTGCTATCCAAGTGAATCGGGCTGGAAGTGGAGCTGAAACAAAATACCATTTGCAAACACCTGAAAAAGCTGGAAAAGTTTGAGGCTAGCTCCAGAATCAAAGGCTTGGCCCAAAATACGTCGACGCTCATGGAAAGACTCCCATGGACTGCCCTGGATTTTCCATTAGGTCTGCAAAGCTCAGGCCTAGAGCTGCATCACTCCAGCTGTCTCACAACCCAGGAAGGTTCCTTGGCTCCAAGTCTTGGCTTGCCACCCTCCCCAGCTGGGCCCCTGGTTTGGCAGCCCATGGACCGGGATGTGCTGCACCATGCACCTGCTACGTGACATGCATGTCGCCCCAGGGCCTGATCCTGCAAGGTCCTGAGTTAGCCCTTCAGCCAGAGCGGTCGGCATGAGACTCAGGCATTTCTGCACCTGGAGAAAGTCCTGGGCACCTTCAGCAGGGCTGGAAGAATTGCTGCCAGACGGGAGGCATGCCAGCCAGCAGCTGCTTACACCGAGAGAGGTGCGAGCACTGGTCACCGTTAGTCATTGCTCTTGCTCATCCAGGAATCGAAAAGGGCCAAGAAAAATTGGGCTGAAATGTGACCAGGACAAAGAGGAGAGAGCCAGGTTAGGTCTCAAGAACTGTGAACTGTCCTGGCTCTGCTCAAGTGGGAAAGGATTTGCAGAGCTTCTGCTCGCGGGCTGGTGTCACCGAACTGGCACTGCTCCTGCCAGGTACCTTCCCAGTCTCCATCATGTTAGATCCTCTACCAGAAGTGCACGGTGCTGGAGTTTCACAGGTCCTGAAGGAGGTCAGAGAAACCCTATGGCAGCTACTGCTGCTTGTGTGGAGGTTTTCAAGTCACAAATTGTTGCAGCCAGCTATAGGTAAGGCCGTATCAAAGGGAAAAGCTCAGAGCAGCAGTGGTCAAGGCAGTCCTGATGTTCTTGCAGGAGCAGACAGGCTGACCAGATCAGGATGGTCCTCCAGCTCACCGAGCCATGCTGGTGCCCCAGACCAATCCTCCATGGAGATTCCCACGGGCCATTTCCACACTGTACAGTAAAATTCCTGATAAGACCTTTTTTCCTGCTTATATGCGGACGCTGTTAAAGCAACGAAGCTTGAAGCTGGAGCTGTCACAGGACTGACTCAAGCATTGCAGCTGCAGCAGTAGTGCCAGCAGTGTGGACGAGGAACAGGATCGGTGGCGGGGTGGGTGAAGGGAGGAGTCAGGGAACGTGTTTTACAAGAGAGTTACACAACCCTGCACCTGGTGCAGAGGCTTCTGGCTCCCCGATGGGTCCCCCAAGATTTTAACAAGGAGGAGGAAATGTGCACATTGGTGCCATTGTGAATCTTCCCTTTCCTGGCTAAAATAATCTGTAAATTAAATCCAAGGGGAAAATGTTAAGATAGAGGTGGAGATAGGTGTCCCATGAGAATAAGAGCAAACCTGCAGGGTAGGAGGGGAAAATAGTTGCCCACCAGGCATATGAGAAGGGACCTTCTGGGCCACCACGTGCAGTGTGTACATACAGCAGGCACCCTGCTGTGTAATCCTTTTCCTATGTGCCATCGTGGGGTTTCGCCCCCTCCTATACTGACTTGGATGCTGCTTTAGACCTCAGCGCTTGGAGAGTCAGAAACCTTACCGCCAGCCACGAATTACTACCGGCCAGCTTATCTCCCTGGCATTTTAGAAGCTTAGGAAAGGGGAAGTGAAGGAGAGAGCCCAATTCACACCCACGTCCAGGGCACGGCAGGCACATCGGTCGCTCTGTAAGGAAAACCTCCCGGTGCCACACTGGCGTGGAGGGATGGCTCTCCTGGCTGTGGCAAGCCAGGCAGTGCCTGGGCAGCTCAGGAAGTCGCACCAGCTCTGGTACAACCAGTTTTCCTCACAGCCGAGCCTTTCCTGTGCACCTTGTTCTTCTGGTAACTTCAGCATTTTCTGCCAGGCAGTTTTGGTCATATGACCTCTCCGCTTCTGTTTTTGCATTCCCAAAAATGCGAATCAGCCCCTCAGACCGTGCTGCTGCCTGCCATCAGCAAGCTCCCGGTGTGTCCAGGAGGCAGGGACCGCACTGCCTGCAAAGGGAGGGCTCTGTGCTTTAATGTCAGTCACCCAGCAGCTGGTGACGAATGTCTTGAGGAGGTATGCATCCGTGCCACACCGAAGAGGCCAGAGCTGGAGCGTAGCCTGGCTGCGGTTGGTGCTGTGCGGGCTTCTGCAGGCAGCACGGATGCTGCCACATTACCCCAGCATCCCCCGGCTGCCTGTCATCACCCATTGCTTGTCATCTTCTGCTTTGATTGGGTGCTCTTCTGGATATCTGCATCGGATTTGTACAGCATGGAGAGCAACGTGACCCTGGTCCGTGACTGAGGCTTCCTGGTGCTGCCACAACACAAATAATAAATAATAATTATGCTGGGCTCAGAGCAGCTGACGTAGGAGTGGCTTGGCTGGAATCACCGTCCTATCCAGCCCAGCATGGGCCTCACTTATCCCCGTGAACTAGGATGAGAAGGAGGAGGACAGAAGAGGAAATCCACTGCAAACATTCACCTTCTTCCTCCTGTGTAGGAGGGAACATGCAGAGAGAGAGTCGACGTACCAGCTAATTTTTCTTCTGATACAACGCCAATTGCTGCACTGGAGGTGCTCCTGGGATGAATTTGGCCCGGTGTTTACATGAATTATTATTATTCATTAAGATTATCTTGTGGTTAAAACACAGGAGCGGGAAGTGAGCGATATGTTCCTGGCTCTGCCACGGACTCTGAGCATGGCCCTGGGCAACTCACTTTCCCCCATTACTTTCCGGAAATATATTTTCAAGCGAACAAACACTAGCATTGAAATGAGGGAAAATGACACAGATTATGAACATCTGCATAAATACCTGATCGACATCCAAATCCTACTGAGAAACAACAAAACAATGATCTCAAAGTTCAGCGAGAGCTGCTTTTGTTTCTTTTATTTGCTAATACATTTGTGAATAGGGCTTGGTTTAAATGTTATAGTAATTGCTGGGGGCCTAAATTTTCAACTCATTCATATTCTGTCGGGGAGACTGTGGAAAAAAAACAGGCATGGATACTCACAAGCTAGAAAGTTTCCCATCCAAAAAGTCAGAGAAATAGGGCTAAAAATACTAAACAAGTGAAGAAGAAAAAGCATTGCAATGAAAAAAGAAGATGCAATGAAAATATTAGATTCCTTCTTGTGGTCTGGCTATTTCGCACCGCTCATGTGGCCCAGTGAGCTCTTGCTGGAGAATCCCACTTTTTGGGGGGGAACGTCTCCCAGCTCTGAAGCTGGCAGAGGGGCTCCCAGCCCTGTGCACCCCATCCTGCCGGTGCTCTGCCCTGGCCTCTCTCACCTTGTGTGACAAACATCGGAGCAGTGCTGTGGCTATGCTCCAGCCTGGGAGAGATAAAGGGGATTACAGCTGGCTCCTGGATGGGGGTTCCCTGTGCAAAGCAGAGCTCGGATTTAGGGAGGCTGGTCTGCTGTTTCAGTGGGGGATGAAAGGAGCTTGTTTCTGCCGCTCCAAATCTGACAACTTTTACATCAAATAAAGGGCACGGGTTGCCTTTCAAAGAAGAAAAAAAAAAAATCAAACCCAACTATTTTAATTGACTCACCCTTAGGGGAGGGAGGAGAAATGATGCAATTATATGAAGGAGGTGGGGAGAGGGGTAGGATCATGAACTGGATCCAGTTTTGTAAACCAAATTGTTGAGAATGTCCTCAGACCTTCTACTCCATGGGCTTAACACAGCTCTAGGAGAAGGGTGCACCCTTTACAACTTTCCCCACCATGATTTATGGTGAACTCTCCAAAAGCCCTGTACTGCTTTCAGCACATTTTCTTGCTCAGCCAGGGCATCCTTTAATTATCCTGTTTGTAAATTTGCAATTAATTAATTAGCCTGTGTCTGAAAGGGCTTAGAAAATGTAAGTGTGGCTGAGTATTGTTAATGTCAAGTTCAATTATTATCATTAAATATTTATCTAGCATTGTAACTAGTGGCTGGCATTTTAGAGAGATTAAGAAAGATACTGTTCCTGCCTGGAAGGCCTTGTCATCCAAATTAGACAGAGAGAACATGGAGATTGACAAAAGAGAAGGACCGAGATGGAAAGGATTGAGACACCATAAATAAAGATAGTTGTGAGTCATATTGTAAGCAAATACCTCTAAGCAGAAGGATGAAGAGAAGGAGTAGAGCGGGGACACTAGTTAGATTAGAACCATGAAGATGCTGCTTTTCAGTAAAAAGGGCAGTGGTGTGAGGACCTCCCCATGGAAGTTCTGATACCTGACACTCTGCCTCTTTGCAGGACATTTTTAAATATGGGGCCACACTCAGGGCAACACATTCTGCCCTTAACGCCCTGCAGGTAAATGCAGCACCACAAATCCTCTCCTACCCCTTTGCTCCAGACCCAGCTGGACGCAGGGGAGCAGCAATGCCCCAGCCAGTTGCCTCTGGCCCGCGGCTCATGGAGCAATGGGGACAAGGAGGCTTTGCAGTGAAAATGCGTGAGATGCAGAAGGGCACAAGGATTTTTGCTGAATGCTGCCAGACTAGCAGAGACACTCTTTGGCGCTTTCAGGGAAGGGCGTATTTGTCCCTGTGGAGCTAGATTAAAATGCCAGCCCTTCCCTCTCCTCCATACAACTCACCATTGCCTTCCCTTGTTCCTGGCCTGGCTCCAATCACAGCTGGGATCTCTGGGCAGGAGGAAGGCGGCTCTTGAACCCCAATCAAGCTGGCCAGGCCCTACAAGCTTGGGGAGGTTTGGTAATGGGAATGCCCACCAAGGGTGGGGTGCATCCCTTCCCCTGCCCACCTGGTTCTTCCACCAAGGAGAATGCTCTGTACCTGCCATCGCGCCTGGCCCCAGTGCTGCTGAGTGTGGGGAACACTCCCTGGGTGACACGCTGCCTCTGGGACATCCTTGCCCAATGATGCTGTGGTGAATGAAAAACAAACAAGAATCCCGTGCTCTTTATTGCATGTTACGAGCTGACATGGTTATGAAAATACAGGAGAGCAAATTTGCCAAGAAGGGAACAGGAGTGAGCAACAGAGGAGTTGGTTTCCTCCACATGTTCACTCTTTAGCCTTATGCAAATCTCAGTAATATCCATTTCTCTTTCTTTAAAATCTGGAATAACAGCACTGCTCCTCCTGGCACTGAATGCTGCTCTGTCTGGGTCTTGGTCTTTCTTCACCTCTCAGTGATACTGCAGAAATAGCACAAGTCTATTCTGTGCTATGTGTGCATGCACTCAAATTCTGTAGACTGTGCTTAAGACCTGATCCAAACAGGGCCCTAGTAACTTATTCCCAAGAGTAAGGGATTTTCCCAGCCTAAGATTTCCTGTCTTGGGAGCTTCTCTCCATTTGGGACAAAGAGAGCTGGGTGGAAAATAATCTTCGATTTTCTGGTCTTTGCTCCAGATGTCAGTATTAAACTACCTCGAGTGCTGCGAAATTGCACTGAGTGATAAGCAACATTAGGGTAAACTGGGTTATAATAATCCTTAATGGTTATCTGGTGCTTTATAATTCCAAAGAATTAATCAAACATCAATTAATTCTTATAATGGCCATCTAAATGTTATCTTCTCTCCAGAGATGGGGAAGCTGACAGCTGTGCCTTGCCCAAGGCTGCAGAGCCCAGCAGAAGCAGGGTCAGCGCTAGAGCCCGAGGACTTCTGCCTTCAAAGCTGGCCTCTGCCCACACCATATCCCCGTTTTGGTCCCTGCCCGTGTCCACAACACCATGACCTGGATTTCTGAGGCACCTCAGGCTGGAGGAACAGGCATGTTGAAATCCAGGGGAAGCACTGTTTACTGGAAGCCAGCCTCCACACGCATGCCACACGGTCACATGTGGCAGCCTGGTCAGACGTGACGCGTGGTCTACAAGGTCGTTAAAACCCCAGCCTTTGACCAGCTCAGCCAGCCATCAGATGGAAGGAATGCAGCAAGCATCCGGGGCTGAGCAGTGACCGCCAGCGTCCCCAAAGTGGGACGACCCCTCTGGATTTAGGGACAAAGGGAAAAAACCTCAAAATGGGCAAAACAGGCTCGCAAAATCTGCTGCCAGCGAGTTCTTGCAGGGCTTCTCCTGCCCCACCACTGCCCACATGAGGATCAGAGGACGGCGTTTCCTTAAATACTTTCTGCGTTCTGGGGGAGATCCAAATCCCAGCAAACCAACAGCCTGGCAAGGCTCCACGTGTTTGCATCTTGCTGCACCAGAGCCGGCCCAGGACTCCAACGGACTAAAATATGGGCTACCTGGCTCCTCGTCTCGAGCTAACTCCTTTAAAGCTCGTTCAGGTCTATCTCTAGCATGCTACAGTCCCAGCAGCAACTACAATATAGACATTGCCGCAGATAGTAAACGTGATTACACAGAACCCGGCTGTGTCTCTGCGGTTTTCTCTCACTACCAGGCTTGTCGACATGGAGCCACTCCGGAAAATTAATTCAAATTAATTAAAAGTATGAATTTAAAGTTGATCAGTTAAAGCCCGTTAAACTCATGATTCAGATTTCAGAATTAAAATGGTTTTAATTTAATCTAGTTCAACACACTCTCAAAGTAAATTAAACTAAACCACATTAAAGCTATTTTAATTCTCAATAAGCATGTTTAATGTGGTTTAATTTATCCACTTTCAAAGTGAATGCAGATTAACCTTCCTGAATGTCCCCAGGTAGACAAACCCTGCTATAGGAAGCAAAGACGCAATTTAAGTCCACCAACAAAACCGATCAAGAGTTTTGATCTGGACTGGGACCAAGCCATAATTTAATGCTCTCTCCCAGATATGTCCACACTGCAATTTCAGGTCCGACAGCAGCGCCATCCAGTAGCCCAGTAACTGTAATCCAGCCAGCGAGGCTAACGAAGGCTGCAGGCTTCAACGGGGGTGCACAGGCTGCCAGGGACCCTCGGATTGTTGGGCTGAGCTGCAGCCCATGCTGCCACGTCATCCCAGTGGGTTTTTTTCATGGGGCAGAACAGGTATGGGCAGTACTCATTCCGAGCTGGCTGTGGTGGAAGCATCCCTGCAGGGAGAGCTGAGATGCTGTGATGCCATCTACAGGGGATCATTCAGCTCAGCACAAGGTCCATGGGGCCAGATGCTCCCGCTCAGCTCCAAGCGCTCCCAAGGAGCCCAGCGCCTGGCTCTTCGATGCTGAGCTGGCTAGGAAGCTCAGGCCTTTGTGTAGCTGCTTAAGAAAGGAGCTCTTTGAAAATGCAAAGCCTGGGGGTGATGGATGTTGAGCTCTTCTAGAAATCCAGACCTCAAACTGGTTCAAAGGTATGAGACAGGCAGCCCTGAACACTTCCAAGAGCAGAAAAATCTTATCCTAGGACATTTTTCCAGCATGCTCCATTCCTTCTAAAAAAACGTCAGTCACTTTATCCCATACAATCCACGGCTGCTCTGCTAAGCCAGGACCCACGTGACCGCCAGCTATATTTCTGATGCGAAACCCCTTCCATGGTTTGCTCTGACATCTGAGTCAGGAGGAAATCAGATCCCAGTCCCTATGAGGAAGGTGAGGGACCGAGGGGGCACCATTCCCTCCCCAGATTTCTGCTCACTCAGCACCCCTGACACCACCGGGTCCTGCAACTGGAAGCAGCGTGACTGAGGGCTTGGAAAGCAAAGTCTGGGGGTTAGTCCCTTTTTATATTCAGGCTGGGCTTAGTGCCAAGGTGCTTTCTATGCACACAAGATTCACAGTGATTTTGTGCCAGTGTATACTTAACCCCACACATAAATAATAGCTCTGCATTCAGTAGGTAATGCCATTAATTGCCCTCACATTACCTTTCCCTTTCAGGCTGCACAGAAGGAATCCCAGAAGGGGAATGTCAGCCTCGTGTCAGTGCAGAATTGGAGCTATCCCCTGAGCTGCACAGTTTCTGACCTGAACAGGAGCTCTGGTACAGTTGTAACTTCACAGATGTTACCCAGCTACAGGCTTCTCACCCTGAGTTGGTTTTCACAGCACACGGCTGCATGCTAGCTTGAACTTTGCCTCTAATCGGGTCTCATCTCATATAAAACCTCCTTGCACGGGCACAGCGAGCCCACGCAGATCATGCATTTCTTTGCACACATACATAATTTCTGCTACATGCCTCCCCTCACCCCAGACATGCAGCTTGGACTTTACACGACTTTAGGCACCCAGCCGTTCTCTCCCAAGCCTCTCCTTATCCCTGTCTATCCCACAAAGGAGCAGGGAGATTTTCCCTCCATGGTTTTTTCCCTTGACTATTCACAGATCACAGCACCAAGAGTCCCGCAGCCACCCTGTACCTCCAATGTCTGGGAAATTGGTTGCAGTCCCCAAAGCACGGACCTCTCTGCCTCAATCAGCCCCAGCAGCTGCAAGTCTGCCCACCAGAGCAAGGACAAGAAGGTTGGAGGATAGGGAGAAGAGGTAGCCCAGGGTATCTGCTTCTCAGGGGCTTAGCTGAGGCTGGATTTGTGGGCTGCTGAGTAATTAGGAGAGAAGATCTTTATCAGCTAGGAGCTGGGGCTGGCTGGTGGTTCCTGCTGTTGATATTGTGGCAAAGTGGTTAAGGGTGGGTGAGAGGAGAGAGAAAAACAAGTCTGATTCCTGTAGACACTGCCGGAGGGTCCTGTCACCTTCTTGCCAGTCCCCTCGGCTGACTACGAGCCCATGGGATCCAGCAGCTGGGCAAGGCTCAACCCTCACCCTCCACAGTTTTGGCACCAGGGAAGCGTCTCCTTGCACCCCCTTGGGAGCACGCAGCCCTGGGTTCCCCTCCTCCAGACTGGGAAAGCAGCATAGCACCGGGATGTGTCACTGACCCGGAGAGATACGCCAACGCGCAGGTGTCATGAGAGACACATGGATCAGGACACACACAGAGACACACGGCTCCAAGGAGCAGCGAAAACGCATAGTACAAACCCAGCGAGAGCACGGCGAAGGGAAGAGATGCATACACAGCGCAGAGAGCAAATCTAGCTTTTGCAGTCAAATGTGCTGTTTCCCATGCATTATGTTAAAAATAGTAGTTTGACTCCCAGCTTTATGCCTGCCCTGCTCCTGTGAATTGCTCTCCCTGGTCCCCACTGCAAGGCACCTGGCTGACCCAGGGACAAGAGCATGGGCTACCAGTTCAGGTGATATCCAAGGTCTAATGCATCACTTCCCAGGGCTCCTCTGAACTCAGGCTTGCCTGCCCAGACCCTGCAGGGGTGGTTTCTCCCTTTAGCTTACATTCACTCCTGGCCTCCCCAGTCCTCCCTGTACAACATCATCTGCTCCGCTGCCCACTGCCAAGCACAGACCTGCCCGTGTCAGCCTCCATTCGTGGTGCACTACCTGCTTTGCTCTTAATGCCGTCTTACTCCCATGTTACCTCCGCTCCTCCCCTCCCCCAGACAGGGAGATGCAGCCATGGATGAGGATTTAGGAAAGCTGAGATCTCCCTCTAGCTCCTGTTAGTAGGTGGATGATCGTGATGGAAACGACATGCTGCTTTCTGTCCCCATTTCCCTATGCAGAATGGAAATTGTGTGCAAAGGCTGAGGCGTGTTGTTGTTCTTCACTCTGGCTCTTTACAGGATGGTGCGCAAACCCCAGCAGTCCTTCAGCCCTCCACCATACGGGCTTTAATATCACCCAAACCATTTGCTGAGCTTTGTCATAGTCATTCCTTGTCCCCTCCCAGCCTCAACAATGCCACTGACCACGTTGCTCTATGGACCCCAGCCACCCTTCACCCTGCTCGGAGCCCGTCCAGCCGCTCTGCTGCCTGCTCCGAGCTGTGCAAGCACCTTGTGTCCACAAGCATCATGGGTCCACCCTGGCCTGGGG